GCGAACCGTGGAAACCGTCAATTCGGCGTACCTGTTGGGCGAGTAGTTCACTGGGACGGCATTCTGAAAGGAGGAAAAAGAAGCACGCAAGTCACGTGAAGAATGAGCAGCTGTGGACACTAGACCTCGTGTAATTGGTGAAAAGGACGCGAGAAAATACGAGATTCGCGAACCTGTGGAGGAGTCGACTAGAGCGCACGAGGCTTGGACACTAGCCGTGGAGGTCGAAGACGATATCTTGACGCAGTTGGTACGCGGAGACATGGAGATCGTTGGAAGTCGTCGACATAGGCGGCGGATCTTCCGCCTGAGATATCGCGGTAATGTGAGTTAACGCGCGTTAATGATAACTGCTAGGAAAGAGGTTGGCGCCACAGGATAACGCGACTTTGACAAATTCACCACGGTAAAGTGGGGGGGAATGCCGTCGTCCCATGATGAATCAGCCCGGGATGCGTCATCGACGCTAAGTCATCCAAACGCCCACGGCGGAATTGCCCGGCAGCATGGCTTTTCCCTGCGTCAAAGCGCATCTCTCGCGGCACAACTAACAAACAAAGCTGTCTAGTAAAGGCAACTTGTCAATTCCCAACCAAAACGTAGCGTCTCGTGATTGAAAATGAGCGTGTTTGGGCATTTTCGCCAGCTGATCAACAAGTTAACAGGACTAATGGAAGCTAACGCAGGAGAACATTTGGTAAATGTGAGTTGGTAGTCACATGATACGAAAAAATACCCATTCGTGAGACGGTCGTGGAGTTCTCAGACAAGATTACGGTGCGTCCGCAACCACATCAAATCTTAACCAATCAGCTGTTCATTCGAACATTGAAAATGTGGTTGCTAGGACACAGCGCCAAGTACACATCACCCTCGTAGGCCCACCGACTTGACATCATGCTTCATTTTCGATGCTGTCCATGCTGATTTACCTGATTCTGTGCTAGGCGGTTCACTGTTTATCACCAGTGATACGATTAAAGAGAGGTGCAAATCCGGCTCGTTTTTGACCTTGAATTGGTCAGCTTCGACTTCATTGGTCAACGCTGCGTGACACGTGCATTCTGTTGAGGAGTCAATGCTGCACACCTCAAATGCCACCTTGGGAGTTACCAGAGTTGCGAGAATTCTGCGATGCCTTTCAAATTTGGAAATCAGCTAATAGCACTGACAGGAATCTTTGAAAACAAATTCACCGATCTATTCCTGAACCTGGTTGCTGTTTTTGATTGGTCAGATTTGTGGATAACGCGAACCCTTTGATAATCAGACACGTTGCCATTTCTGTCCATTGTCTACCTCCGTTTTCGACAGTAAACTTTGAAATCCGCCTATTTTGCTGTTTCACAGTTTGAATTTGTGCCGTGAATTTAAACGCGCGCGTCATTCGTATAAAAAATCGATAATTCTAACCGACGTGATTTTATTGGCACTGCGAGTTAATGATGGTGGTTTTTTTTTGAAATTCCTGCGAGTCGCTTTTTCCCCCGAGAACACGGAACTATTTGCTAAGGGCAAACCCCACCACCTCCCTCCTCATAAAACGTGCAGATTCAGCAATTCGGCACCTGTGACCCCAGGTGGTTACAGGTCGCCACCCTCCCAACCTCCCAGCGTTTTATGGTCTGCAGGGCTTCAAGCGCCTGACCTCAGCTCGAATGAGTCACCCCACTCCTCCTGACGTGGTCTACCGAATCCCAAGTGGCCCCTTCAAGACCTAACCGTCAGAAAGCGTCAGTCGACGGAAATTGGGTGCGTCTGAAGGGAAGTGAGTTCGTCCGGCTGATGAAACCTTGTCTGTGACACCTAGCATCCAATCCAAGTTGAACGCGCAACTCCGCTGAGCAAAAAATATTGATCTTCCCATGGAACTCGGCGGTTTTTACAAGCATTGTGTCCAAATTCAGGTCACCATAAGTTAGGAGCGAGAGACACCCCAATGTGGAACCTGCCACGCCAAATTCTGACTCGAAAACGCAGAGCCACCCTGGTTAAAAAGGGGGCCATTTGACAATTTAACAGATGCGCTAGCCTTCTGGGAGATAAATCTTTCTCCGGGTGGAACAGATCTCAGAATGTTAGCCAAAACTCAAATTTGTCGTGTAGAGTGCTTTAAAATGTGCCTAAAACTACAATTTTTTTCAAATCACCTGATCTGACCTTGAATCGACCAATAGACGACAGCATTAGTCAGATTCGAGGACCAATTGCTGCTGCGAATTGCCGGTTCGTCGATTTAAGCATCCGAAGGCCCACCTCACCACTAAAACAGACCTAGCAATTTGACAAAAATCGTCTAAATTTTTATATTAAGCGGCCATTTTTGAAAATGGTAAAATTTGGATGATTAAATGACTGTTTAGTTTGGATTATGCGCCTAAAATGGCCAATTTGAAGTGGACATTTCATTTGTCTTGGTGTTGGGTAAGTAATTAGTTTACAATTCACAAAACAGTGCCGGCACAGGGCCGAAGTACCAGCTAGCCAATCACAGCGCAGCCGTAGCCTCGAGGTTGCGTGATGGGAAATTTAAACAAGTCGGGCTAAAGCCAACTCATGAGTCATGCCTACGGTGGCATTGCTGGTGGGACTTCGTCTGCCCAACAGCCTGTGCGGCACGTGGCGTGCGTACGTGCGCGCGCGCACGCGTGTGTGCAAGTGGGAGCTTATCGATTGCGCGCCAAGGCGTAATTGCTTTTGCCCACAGGCCAGCCAATGAGCGTCGTCTCAATCCCACTTGCTGCCACCGCCTTGCAGAAGGCAGGCTCGCGTATAAAAGGCCGCGATTCGCGCTGCTGCGAGCCAGGACCGCCGGTCTTCCGCCGCACGCCGGGGGGGCGTTATCCCCTGGCCATCTTGGGCGAAAACCAGTGCAATAACGAGCTGCCCTTCGGGCTCTCTGTACCAAACCAGGACTCTGCCACCTCGAATTGGATCTATCTAGTCAGCTTTATAGCGATCTCACGTTAAGCCTGTACAACGGTGATAGTCATTTGTACACATGTAAACCCTTGTCTTAATCCCCAAGTCTTTGCAAAATACAGCAAATTTTGCCTCCACTTCATGCGTTTTTTACGTCTTTTCCGTGATTTGTGGGCTGAGCACTTGCCTGTGTGCGGGCTGAGCTAGTTATAAGGGTTCGTTAGCTTCGATTTTGGGGGAAATGGTATCAGGTTAAAGTCGTTGTAGTGGTTGGTACTGTTGTATTTATGGTATGTCAGAGTTGACCATGGCATAGGCAAGAGTTATTCCTCAAACTCAATGGAATTTGATTCTCTCCCTAACAATTCCGGCGGGCACAATGGGGCAGGCGGGCCGACTTATGTGCTGCGGTACTTCTAGACGTTTGCGCATTCCCATCACCGTCTCGTCGATTGTGAGCGACCGGTTCACCACGCGGATGCGTTCACAGACCTCCCCCATACGGTCCTCCACCAGCTGAAGGTTCTCCCTGCAAAGTACGTGGGAAAAAGGCTTAGTTCCACGACTAAACCAGTGAACAGGCCGTCCATTGAACTGTGATTGGCTAATTTCAAGGTCCTCTGAGTAGTGAGTAGTGATTGGCTAAATCGTTTAAAGTGGTAAATGGGAAAAACCCACCTCCCCTTCATGATTTGCTCATCCAGGCCGTCCATGCATTCAATCAGATTGTCGCATTCATCTCTGAGACCGAAGTAGGGCGCGTCGGCGGCGTTCTCGATGCCCGGCCGGAATGTCCGCGCCTCCTTGCGTGACTGCGCGAGTTTGTAGCTCGCGGTTTTGGCCTCGCGAGCTGACTGCCACTCTCTGATGTCGAAGCGTAGCTGCGACCTGGTCTTCTCTAACTTAACCATGAAGAGTGTCAAGAAATCTATTGTGTAGTGCTTGAAAAATAACGCGTACTTATTTTCCATTCAGTAGCTCGACTAACCTGTTTGTGCTGAAACTTCAGCTCCCTGATGGCACTGTTGTACTCAAAAATGCGACGTCTCAAGCGCTGCGCGACCTCCTTGGCCTTCTGCTCAAGGCGGTGCGCCGCCTTGTTCAACTCGTCGTAGAGCCTCTCACAGAGTTCCAGGCCTTTCAGAACCTGCTCGTGACCGCGGGAGAGCAGGTCACGAAATAAATCCTCCCAAACTTGCAAGTCTAAATGACTGCAACAAGTAGAGAATGACTACTGAAAGTGCAAATTTTCCAAACCAATATCCGCTATTCCTATTGGTTCATTCCTCAAGGCCATCAAGGTGTTTTAGTGCAATAAAACCACGTAGAATTTGAGTTTGGCGCCTTTTGTGCCAGTGACATGTGAGTGTTTATTTAAGAAGTGCAGAACCATGGGAATCCAGTGTCGTTTACGTTCTAATTGACGCCTTAGGAGAAAAGCAGAATTGATTGACACCAGAATTCTGCAGGCATAAACAAAGATGCACAAATTAGAACACAACTGAATTACTTTTTGGTCTCTCGATCACAGAACGGTTTGAAGCCCACGGGAGCGGACTTTTCGTTGGAGTTGTACACGTCCAAGTCGATTTTCTTGGCCTCTTCCTTGTCTCTAATCGCCTTCTCTACCTCCCTTCGAATGGCAATCAAGGCCTGGAGGTGGGCGACGGCGTCGTCTATCGTAAACTGAAGGCGTGATTTCACATCGTTTTGCAGTTTGGCTTCCTAAATGTCAATCAGCGATTAAGTCAAACACGTGGACATGGCAACCGGTCACAAAGCCTTCACCAAAACACACCCTTCTGAGTTCCTCCTGGACGTCGTCTTGGACGTAGTCACCGTCCAGCCGAGTGTCTCTGTGCGTCAGAGTTTCCACATTGACTGTCATTGCATCACCCAGGTCGGCAATAAACTGATCAGCCTGAATCTTGGTGTCCCCAAGGGCTTGCGTAACTTCGAGGATTTGTCTCAGCAAATCGCCTAGTATTTGCAACCATTCTCGATTGCAGTTGATGCGATGTCGCAAGCGATTGTTTATGTCAAGTTGATAAAACCTTAAGGCCAAAACTAGAAGTCGTCATTGCTCATTTACATCACGTGACATAAGACATTGAAAACCACGAGAACTAGTTGCCGCATGTAAAGCTGCGCTTGGTTTTCTTGGTAAAAGTTTATGAGAGAATTTCACAAGCACAAAGGCCAATCAAGCAAGTAGGTGACATGATCCAAAATGCAAACATTCAAGTGTGAACGTTTGGCGAAGCATATTTTTACACATATACTGCATTGTGTAAAACTCAAAACCTATTGTAAAGCTAGCGAGCACCAAAAATTGCCACGAAAATGCACCAAAATGTTAGTTGTTTCGGCCATTTGTAAAAAGAAACTCGGATTTAGGTATTGTGTCGTAAAACACATAGATACGTTTTCCTGCTCAATGGTGCATTATAGTGATTTAATTAACAGCAGTTACACTTTCAAAAGTCTCTGGTGAGTCTTTGCAAGTAGCCGTCAAAATCAGACGCTTAACAATAAAAAAGACGTCTTCAGGAGAACAACGTGGAAACGGGACGTTACTATTTATCAGAATTATTTACCTATACTTAATTTACCATAAGGGGTTCAAAGTAAAACCAGTGTTTGCAAGATAGGAAAAACAGTATTGAAAAACACTCTGTATTATTTCCAATTTACTTGATCAATAATAAACTACTTTGGTTACATCTGCACTACCCCATATGCAAGTTTACATCTGAATAGTTGCGCAATATCTTTGGTATTTTTTTTTGTAAAAACCTATTAGTTGTATCAAATAATATTGGATGGTTTTGACACTGACTTTGTCAGGGCGTCTGTCTCAATTCTAATGGCTCGTCCGCGTTGCCGCATTTTCTCTGCTTGGCGGCGCAAGTCCTCTGAGGCGCGGCTGTATGCGTGCAGTGAATGGTACCATGATGGAAAGGGGTGCTCATGAGGCAGCTTATTCTTCGTTGTCATCTTTTAAGTTTCGAAAAACTACACAGTATAAAATTCATTATATTTGTATGCACATTTATGTCATTTTTACATTACTTGATAAAGAGACACACTTTTGTTGAAGCATAATGTTTGTGCACTAGTTAACTAAGCATACCGTAGGCTGTCCCAAACTTATTATTAAAAAAATATGGCAGTCATTTGTGAGTTGTAAGAGAAATGATTCCGGAATTAGACTCTCAACGAAACCAAAATTACCCAATTCAATATGGGTAAAAAACGGCGTATTGTCAAATTATAATCAATATAAATAATTTGCAATTATTTTAGCTCAAAAGGTTAAGCCGAAAACAAGCCGATCAAACATTTTTTTCTACAGGCGATTTGAATGTTTGGCTAGAATACTGTGATCTGTGCTTGACTAATTTAAAATGAGTAACGTGTTTAAAACTATGAAATTCACCAGAAAAATTGCTGAACTAGAGTGATTATATATTACCGCGGACGGGACCAATTAACCTAAATGTGACATAACAAAGTAGCATTGGAGTCATTAAATTAGAATCACAGTCTTAAATATTTAAGATATGTTGCTTTACTACTTGCGTTATCTCAACCACAATCATTTTTTGTTAAAGTAACTGGCTTTTGAAGGGCATCGTAAATCAAGTTTAATTGAAATGCACAGAATTGTACCGGTTTACATTATTTTTAGTTTTGCAGTCATACAAGGCGATAGTTTGACAGGTTACATTTATTTTTTGTTAGCGAGTTTTTATTACATTCTTTAGGCAGAACTACAAATTTCTTTCAGCTGAAATTTAACTGCCAGTAGAGGACAAATCTTTCTCAATGTACTCCAAGAATTTGCATCTTTTTAAAAAAATGAAGGATAGTTAAAAAAGATAAGTTATCCTAGCAACAATGCTGTTCTTGCTAAGTAAATTTTTGGATGAGGATTAGCTTAACCACAGTATGGAGAAGACAGGTGCGTCCCTCCAAGTCCTCGATACCTCCAATCATTTTCCTTTTTTTCCCTTCCCCTTTGGCTTGGTAACCCACATTGCTGATGATTGATAAAATATTCAGTTTGACACTCTGCGATACTCAACACCTACCAGGATTGGCCTAAGCGAATAGTAGACGAGAAACTTGGCTCCTTGATAGCTTCTTCCAATGTTATAATGTCCAAATCAGCCACTACATCTTCTCCACTTGCAGTTCAACTGGATTTTAATGTCTTCATCACCCTCATTGAGCTACCGATGAGTCTTTAGATGCAGTAGTCCTAGCCTTTGGCAATATCAACAAATCCAGTAAATGGAACATCGGATGAACCTCCATGCCTCTTCTAGTTCAATTTGGGTTTTTTAAACGCAGCTTCGATTCTGCCACCTGCACTAAATTTAAACTAGTATAATTAAGTATTCATCCGTTCTTTGTGAAGGAATAATGGTTTGTTGAAATGCCAAGAGCAATTTTTTAATGTAAATTGATTTAATATGTTCAGAATTCACGCCAATAGTAACATAAATATAACGCGTATATATATTCATTTGAATGACAGTTAAAACTTTGAAGAAGTTATAGAAGTAATCCACATTGACAAAATAATGTTAGCGAAACTCGTTAATTATTATTTTTGTTAAATGTTTATCCTTAGAATCAACATATGGTTACAACTTTTAGGTTCAGTTAAAGTTTGGTGTATTTAAAATAAAAAACCATGCATGCCGAAGGAAAAATACGAAAAGTGCATCACCTACATTATAGCCTACGTCAATGAAATTTGCTTTTGCAATTAACTAGCAATTTGCACTTCCCCAAATTTTTCGTGTCCATTCATGCAGCAATGCTATCTAAGGCAGGGACAAAAAATTTTAAGATTGAATTTAAGGTCAGACATCTGGTAAAATTTGTTTTTTGTCTTCGTTTATACATATTCACACAACATCAATTAAATATGCTCATTCGGTATATTAGCCCATTAATGACGCTGTCAATCCAAGTGAAGAAGACATGCCGAGTGGTTTAACAATAAAATGAAAAAAGGTAGCTATTTGTCACTTTAAAAGAAACCATCAGCGTTGCAATTTTTAACAGCTTGAAACTGAAATAGCAATTAATAAATTAAAATTCCATCAGCATTTGTCCTATTGCCTTACTTGTTTTACCATAACCGTGTTCACAAAAGCAAGATAAAGGGATGAATCTTGGTTGCAAACGATTAGACCTTCTAAGGAAGTAAAAGTTGGTTACAGTTATGGGTTGCTAGTTAAGTTCAAGTTACTAACAACAATTTGGGATTCTGATTCCTTGTGTTAAGAGGGTTCCAGAGATCAGTGGCCTAACACACATAACATCCGTCAAAGCCACCAAATAAATAAATGTCACGTTATTTAGAAATTTCTTCACTGGTATATTTTATCTAAACGGAACATTCTGCAATTTGAATGCAAAAATATCGTGGTGCATGACTATAAAACCAATTTTTGGGTTTTGAAGATAAGTTCCCTTTTAATTACACAAAAGCAACCGCAATTTAGCAATTAAGTCTTCTACTTAAATCGAATTTTCTCAAATCCGAACGCCATAAAACCTGAATAAGCCCTTGTTTCAAAAGTTGCGCTCCGATTGGTTGCTGGAGAATACTTCGAGGACGGTGGCTATAATGTAGGAATGTTACATTTTCTCATCCTCATGGTGATGTATCTACGGATTTTTCCTGTCTTTGATTCTAGCTATGCGAAAATTTGCAAAAAGTGCTGATTAGCCCCCCTTTTTTTATGATGCTTTTCCTTCATTTGGCATATTCCGTCCACGCCGTTTGAAGTCAATATTGTTGACTGTATTTTTGGTTAGAACCATTGAAGCCGTATTCGGTTAATGATTGCCTTGTCCTGCGTACATGCGTTATCAATGCATATTGACGATTAATTTGGATGTACTGACATCGTACACGTTACAAATGTAGATATCCCTAAGACATGAAATTTACGCCATTTTGTTATTAACATTGAAATTTGCGGTTTAGTTTTATTGCCAAAACCTCAGCTTTCCAGTTATCTTCAGATATCTACATGTTTAGTTTGTCATTAATAACGATTACAAGTTTTAATTAATTTCGCCCTGAGCACAGTAACCCTTTATTATTTTGAACTTTGTAACCGTATTGATCTATCAGGTTTTTAACATTGTAAAGGTACATGTTCTCGAAATTACTGTTTCTATTATATATCATATCGGCTTTGTGTATGACTTAGTTTTCCATCTTATGTGAAATAAAACCTGTCTTTTAAATCAAGTCGGCTTATTTTTTTAGTAATCTATATTTTTTTCCTTTGGCAGCATCTTATTATATTAAAACTCATTTACAGCCGTCAAAAATAGTGCTTAACCACTAGTCTTTTATTGTATTTATGCTTAACTGTTCTTTTTGGAACCGGCACTACATTATGTCAAAATTGTTCATAGTTCTTCCCTCTTTTACGAATTTTTGACCCAAAATCTGAATGGTCGTATTTGTTTACTTCGTTACTTCAGTTTTTCTACAATGCCACGTGCCACGCGTAGCGGAAACACTCCAAAGGATAAGACGCCTGCCAGTAAAAAATCCTCGCCAGGCACGGGAAAACCGCAAACTCGGAAGTCAACACGTTCTACGAAAGAGCCGTCCGCGTCGACACCCACCTCTCCCGAGGTGAAACCCACACGTTCCTTGCGAAAGCGCACAACGCCCCCTCAAGAAGAGACGTCTCTTGCACCCCCTGAAGCGAAAGATGTCCCGAAGCGGCGGAGAGTTTGTGGATCCTCGCCTTCCACGAAGAGCCAACCTACTAGTAGTACACAGACGCCCTCCCCAGCGAAAGTAGCTACAGTTCCTAGCCGAAAACGAAAGGGGGGATCAAAAGAGTCAACAAGTGACACTTCCAAGACTCCTGCCTCCAAGCGGGCCAAAATTACCCCTCCAGGTGTGTCCTCTACTCTTGTATCTTTTGGCAAATGGTTGTTGCGCATCTGAGTTACTTGTGCAGGTGTTTATTATGCCTATCTCTGTCTTTTTTTCTTTGGAATCATGACAAGTCGGCACGAAAACATCTGCTAGGTGTATGAATTTATATGAGGTGGTTAAAAGAAGGCCTTCGATATGTTACTTCAGATTTTAACACTAATGCGTAATGCAGTTCCCTCAAAAGCGTGGCGTCAATGTGAAATTATTTCGCTCTTTTTGCTGCCTGCTGAGTTAGTCATTTCTTTAAAATTCCAATTTCTTGAATAGAATCTGAACAGTCGGAGACAAAACAAAGCGGGGAGTCCAAAACCCCTTCAGAGCAGGAAATCCCACCGGCGAGCGTCGTAGAAAGCCCCCCCTTGAAAGCGCCTTCACTGCGTCCTGAATCGACGACTCAGAAACGCTCGTTGCCCTCCGCCGGTGTCAGCAGCAGCAGCAGCAGCGCTGCTGAGGAGGAGAAGGAACCCATTCATGAACCCACGAGGCGGAGTGCGAAGAGGAGTAGAGAGATCCCTAGGAAAACTGTGCCGACTCCGGAGAAGGTGGAACACGATCATCAGCAGCAGCAACAGCAGGCGAAGAAAAAGAAGGAGGAGGAGGAGGGGGGAGAGGCCGATGTTGAGCCATTGCTATCAGAGGAGAGTACGTCTCCGACTGATTCGAGCCCGAGATTTCTGGGCCCCGAGCTGAAGGAGCCAACGAAAACGGAGCTCGTAGCCATTCAGCGGAGGCAGCTTTTACAACGAGTGGATCACTACGACCTCTCGGATATCACCACCTTGTCAGCTTGTGAGTTTGTTTGCGGTTATTTAGTCTCTAGTTCTGGCAAGGCTCTGACCCCTTCTTGGCAAACGTAGCATCGCAACAGCCATTTTTGGCGCAAACCTTACTTTAAATGCGCCACAAATTATCCGACCTTGCATCTTTACTTATCAAGTCGGTGCCAAATTCTCCAATCACTGAAACATTTCCAATTTCTTTCAATTGACTTACAACACGGACATGAAAGCCAAACTTCTCTCTTTATCCCCTAGAAGTTGTGGCAGGATTTTACGTGACGCCAACTTCCAGCCCATCTTTCAAACCAAAAACTTGTCCCCTGTAGCTTCCTCCATTAGCCACATCATCACAAACAGCACTTTTAACGGGTTTTGCTGTTTTTTTTATATTAATTTGGCACACGTTTTTATCTGGTTCTTCAGATAGAACAAGCGTGGATGTAGATTTTATTCAAGGGACGCGTGTAATCCTAAAGACGTTGGTATAGATCGGTAGGTGTGATAAAAAATTTGCCATGCTTCTGCCAAAACTGGATTTGGGAAACCTAAACGGCATTATGTGTCACTGTCGTGAGCAAAACGAAGGCCATGGCCTAAAATGATTCCCATTTGGCAAATTGGCGAGACATAATTATAATTCCGAGAATGTTGTCTAAACTTTAAGGTATCTCAGAACTCGATTCTCGTGTATACATCACTCGGGCGTTTAAGATTCTCTTCACTAAAAGACTGCTTAAATTGTAGAATGAGAAATTCGTTGGTTAAAAAGTGTTGCACTCGAAGTCGCTGAACTTCAAAATGCGTCTCAGCCACCATTGGTTGATTTGAATTCCCACCATTCAGAAGTCTCCGGTTTGTTTGTTTGTTTGTTTGTGTTGACACGATTGCAGTCCTGCAGACCACTGGAATTTGAATCAGTCGTTGACCAAGCGCCAGATTGCACAGTGGATGTCTATGACCTTCCATCTCCTCAAGGGGGGGGTCTCGTTCCTGGTGTAGCCTCACAGTTGTGTGCCTTGTAGTGCTCTCTAATTGGCCGGAATCGGACTTGCGCGCAATGCCGTCGACGAATCCGCAGCTGCCCATCCCTGCTTCGCAACGCATCTGGATTTCGGAGGACAGTTCGCGCTCGCGAAGCACCGTCAACGGCGACGGCGCCGAGGAGACGTCTGTGTTGCCGGCCAAACGAATCGGCCAGATTCCACACCCGCCAGCGTCTCCTCGATCGGTCGGTGAGCACAAGGGGGTGACAGAGGCCGATGAAGGACAACCACGGGAATTGGACAGCTTCTGTGTGGCCTCGTTCACTCTGCCCACTGCGCAATGTGAGTTGCGTCGTCATCCATCGCTCATTCGCATGTCGATGAATGGTAGAATCTGTCGAGACTGCTGTTTTCAACTCCTCGACACGCCACGTGGTAGTTTGCTGCTCACCTTAACGTACACACGCACGCACACCACGTGTGGATGACGGCTGTGGTCGGCAGTCATGTGATAACGTGACTACCTCGCGTCACATTTGTCGTCAGTGGCGATTAGTCATTGAAGTCGCCTTGCTCAAGTCCTTATACCCTATTCTCACGTCATCATGACCCCACGTGACCTCTTTTCAACTCATTCCCACGCGTGCTAGATCCTCTCACTAACCCCGTCCGGTCAACTTGCCAGCGACAAGTAGTGGCGGGGGAGGAGATGGGCTAGCCGGCGCACCCATTGTTTCCATCCCCTAAGCACACTACTTCCGTGTCTTGTAGTTCGGAAAGACAAGCCAGCAGAGGAGCGCGCCATGTCGGACGAATGCGACCGCCTCATTCGCGAGGTGACCGCCATCAATCCGGACGTGTTTTGCGTCAAGCAGGCCCGCGCGGACTACGCGTCGAGTCGCCTTCGACCCGACCTCCTCAGGTACTGCATTTCCTCCCCTCAGGAGGCCTTCCTTAACTATCGAGAGAGTGTCTATATTCCCTCGTGTTGTTTTACTTTGCAGTCAAGGCTACCAATGCTCTAGATGCACTGATGGCGACGGTGGTAGAAGCAGCAGCTCTGATTCCTTCAAGTCTTTCATCTTCTACAACCAAGATGTCTTCACCGAGGTCTCCTTCCACCGTCTCCCTGTACAGTCAATGGCGCGCAAGGTACGCTTATCGTAGCAGCTTTCCAGTCAGTCAACAGTCGCTTAATTTGCCAACCCTAGGTCCTTGAGATCGAAATGGATCATGGGATCCCCGGCATCCCCCCCCCACTTGATCGGGTCCGTGTCTTCGGCCTCTTGACCGCCTCGTGGGCGAAATTATCGATTTCAGGTCCTCACACCCAAGTTGGCTAGGGTTCTGGTTGTTCCAGGCGAAAGCTTGCTCCATTGACTCATGCGCTGCCACTATCTGGCTAGGAAAGCACGCTGGTCATTGTGACGGTATTCCCTCATGCCTCTGCCAATGGCAAATAGCCCACCCCAACACAGCACACATAATTTGCCACACGGCTGCTTAAAAATGGTTGTTTTAGGGCTCTGTGTAAGGCTTGTAGATGACAAAACCAGCTTGGCGTTACCCAATTAAGTATGTAGAAATGAGCACCGCGGCCACCTTGAAGATGCTTCATCGTGGCTGCGCGATAACACCGAGTAATGCGGGCAGTTGTATCCGTGTGTGTGTGTGTGTGCGTATGACGGGGTGTTCGCAATATCAGTGCTGGTAGCGTTGTCCAACAGGCAGGAAACCATCGCGTCGACGATTTGTCCAAACCGCTTTTGCCAATACTTGACCAAGCCAAGCGTCTCGCACTTGTAACCTACGAAGGTGCCGAAGGAAGGAAGGCGAGTGTGTAGGACTTTGTAGTGTACGCATGTCAAATACCACCTGAACTGTCCAATGGTAGCCTATGTTAGTTCACGCAAAATCGAATTGGCACGCAAAAATGCCAAAGATAATCTGTGGTGGGGCTGGATTCGGTGAAGGCGACGTGGCCGCTGGAGTGTGCGCATATTGGCTCGCGAACGCCGCCAGAGCAAATGCGATGCTTACTTGTTAAGCTCGCAGTTGCTGGCGCATTTTGAGTGGCAAAGTTCTTGAACGAGCACAAGTCGCGGCTTCATCCTCACATGAAAATTTGCGAGTATCACTACTAAGACGTGTGCTCCTGGTGCGCATTAAGTCGTCGCGTTTGCTCTGTAGCCTTCAGCGTTGTCTTTGTCACTTTTACCCCTGTTGTCGCAGTTGGTGAGCCAGAGCGCCTACCCGCAGCCCTGGAGGGACTGCCTCAGTCAGTCCCTGTCGGCGTGTCCCGGTGACACCGCCGACCCTCCGGAACTCCTCGTCTCGGTTCTGCGTCACGCCGCCACGGGCTCCGTCTTGCTGATGGGCTGCCTCACGGATCGCGTCCACCTGAACAATTTTCTCACCAGCACGCGTGCCCCGTCTCTCCCACTGTCGCCGAAGGTCCAGAGCATCCCCTACGTCCTCGGTCCTGGCGGTAGTTCCACGGTGACGGTTTCAGTGGCGGGGTGTCGGTCCTCGGTCTGCGGCACGTCGTCGTCCTCTGGGTCCGAGTGGTGTCCGCCTTCCTTTGACTCGCGTCCGGACCTGGCGACGATCAACGCGACTGGAACCCTCTGGGCACTCATGGAGGTGTGGGAGAAGGTGTGTGTCTCTTTGGATGAGCTTCCCCATACCAACCACTGACTGCCATCACTGTCCGACACCCAACTCCTGGTCATTTAAACCTTTCTTTTCGATTTCCGTTGTCCCTATCCAGGTACAAGAATCCGCAGTCTCGCAAAACGGTCCGCAGGCAGTCCCTGCCGAAAGACCGCTGTTGAACGGTTTCAGCGGGAACGAGCATTCGCTACCCTCGACGACACCCTCACCGATGCGGTGGGTGCTGTGTGCCAATCTGGAGGCGTCGCCCACCTCCCCCGTGTACCAAATCTTCCGCGACGGCTACCCCTCCGACGAGAGCATAACCCGTCTGCGCGCAGTTCGCAATGTCCACCTCAAAGACCACGACTTCCTGGACTCCTCCGTGAGTTGAATGTCATAAAGCACGCTCGTGGGCCATTCGCGCGAAAGCAGAGGCTAATTTGCCAATCTGTCCTGCCTTGTAGTCCTTAATCGACCTTCTCTGGCATGCCTTCCAGCACCCGTGTACAGACGTCCGCAGTTGCTACCAATCCGTCATGGTGAGTCTGTCTTGCACGCCCAAGTCGAGGCGTAACTTGTTCTGCATCGGCAGTTCCTCACGTGCTTCTCTAATCCATCGCTTCCAGGGTAGTGAACCGCCGTTCAGTCGTTACGCACAGCACCAATCACAGGACGCGGTGAGCAGCGGGCCACCGCAATTGGTTCCGAGAAAATGCATCGACTACATCTTCTGCTCGGGCTCGAGTCTCCACCCCAAGGAGGTGTTGGTGCCGCCCTGTCGGACGATGATTGTCGCGGCCTCGGCTGGCGCGTCTCACCACCACCGCCTCTCCGCAACACCATTCCCTCTGGCTACCGAGACGGCCATGTCGCTGGCTACCAAAATCGGTATCATGGCGTAGCGACCCCGGGTACGCCCCTAGTTTTCCCCCCCATCGATTCGAGGCGTAAAACGTCCCTGCCACCACGAAACAACCTATGTGATCAGCACTTTGTTGTTTTTCATTGTAGAGCCCAACTGCGTACCCTCCCTAGCCCGCCCCCCCGGCCATCTCGCCATCGATTGCTGGATCCGTGGTCGCCTCGCTGCCCACCCCCTACCCAACCTCTGGACTCCGCAGTTGGCGGTACCCGTGCCACCACCACCACCACCGCATCCAACATCATCAACTACACCAGCCCGAGAGCAAAGCCATCAGGCGTGACAACGGGAGACACCCCGATCGTCGTAAAAACGCCCAATCTCGGACAGTGTTTTGATTATCGTTTTCGCCCCCAATTTTCCTGTTTAACTCTGTGTGTGCTATACAAGCCCTAAAACCATCTCAAGTAATGCAATGTAGTGTCTTTGGTGGCATGCGTCACCCAAACCGCGGGCACTGTTTTCAATGGCCGTAGGCTAGAATTTTTTCGCCCGGTTCCAGATCGAGGGTTGTCATCCGTGGAGTAATCGGCAAATGACGCAAACATCACGCATTACTATGTGCTGTGAACACGGGAAAAACAGCAGGTCCGAGGGAAGAGGATTTATTCTGCGTGGAATCAACGGGGGGACGATGGGTTGGGGGGTGAACAGGGGTGATTAAGCGCGTCACCTCAGTTCTTTGCCGGTGGTTGTCCGTCCGAGCTGTCGTCACTCTCCTCGTCCGAGGCGAAGGCGTTAGCGGGAAGCGAGTAGATGTGGATGATCGGCTGGGTAGAAAAAAAATGCGGTACGATCAGCAGGGTGCAAGTGTCCTCGACTAGCAGCTAGAGTCAGTTGAGGATACTCAACTGTTTACTACTCTCACTACTCCTTAAGCAGAATTTTGTTTGGTCAGGAACAAATTGGTGTGTGGAGTGGGCATGAACCCTAGCTCCATGATACTCAATTCAAGAACGAGCATCAACAGACGCTTTCATATGATGGTATTTTCGAATACGGAGGTGGGAAGTTTGTCCCTGAATGCGAAGATTCGCCTGCATTGAACCTTCAGCAGAAAATCTATCATCACCTAAGTGAGCACGCTTCAGCATCGCTCGTTGCCTATGAAGTCCCGAAATGCACCATCATCTAAGCAGCCACTGATTGACGTTTTAAATTGAAGATGACCGTGGGCAAATCTAACAAGTCTAGAGGATGCCGACCATAACGGCAAAAAAGTGACAGTCTGCAGGGATTAAGCAAACCTTGTTGGGATCCTTCATCATCAAGTAGGTTCCGGGCTCGCATTTCATGAAGTAGTCGATGACGCAACGCAGAATGCCCCAGGCGTTGTCCATGTTAAGGTTGATCTGTGAGGCGAAATCGGTCGGCCGAAACTCGTGAGTGCCCAGGATCACGTGGTGCGAGGTGTCCTTGGGGTTGACGCGCGACACAAAGCTGGGGAGAGAGAAAAAAATTTGCAAAAATACCACAGCAATGACCAATCGGGTGACTTGCTCAACCCATACCACAGCCGTCCGAACGGAGTTTAACCGTGCAAAAGGCTTACCCAAACTTGAGCAGATCGGCACCAGCTATGATGGATGCGACCGTCCACTTGGCCAGTTTGCACGAGTTATTTTTCAACTCGGAGGCTATCACAGCACCACGCTGGGTGTCCAGTTTATTGCGCCAATTGACACCGTTGCAATACTGGCAAAAAAAAGAGTACAGCAATTAAGGGATGATAACGCGTCTAGTCCTTAACGAAGAACGACCGCCTTATCGAGTTCAGCTTTTACTTAGCGCAGTACATCTCTTCAGCATCCATTAACTAGTATACACTTCTGTTCGACGATTAAAACTAGCATAAGCCCTAGAATGTCAAACAGTGGGTGCATGAAATCTCTAATTATAGTAATTCAAACTCTGACCAATTATTTAAACTAAAGTTAACGAGAGTACATTGATCGATGAGCCGCTGTATCGCATTTCTTACGTCCTTAGCATAAAATGCTCTCAGCTCTAGCCTACACACTTAATTATCTTTATTCCTTTTCATTCACTACCAATGGAGGGAAATGCTTATAATGAACACTCCTTACTCGACTGTCGAACTCGTTGAGAGCCTTGATGCAGCAAAACTTGACCTTGTCCGGTTCCTCGTCCGCTCTGCTCGGCATAACAGCATCCACTTCGCACCGGACGACCATATTGATACCGTTACCCAGATCAAATTGGCGATAGCGATAGCCAACTGATGCCACCTTCTCAGCTTCCTCTTTATCATCAGAATCGATAAAGGGGTTCTTCTGCTTGAAGTTATACGTATTCCCCTCCTGAAATTTTGTCAAAACGAACTTAGTTAGAAGTTCAGACAATAGTAATTATAACTATAGACGAACTTGTTCACTTACTGACTGAAGAACTTGCTGTGAGAAATTGATGTTTATGAAGGTGGCTTCAAGTGCAAGCTTCTCGGGATTATTGATATGGCCGGGTTCTTCCATAGGCGGATCTATGGCGGTTTCGGCAACAGTCACGTGATCAAAGTTAGAACCGGGACGCACGTCGAAAAACAGCTTGTCAGCAATACGAATGGCAAGGAGATCCCAGGAGTCCACGGACTTGGGAGCACACATTATAGTCGCAGCTATCCGATCAGTACAGAAAACGTTGACTGAGGGTTTGTGAGCAAGATTCCTTATAATCGGATCTTCTGATGTCGTTACAGCATGCACAACACCGTTGAAGCGAACCAATGGCCTCTCACTACGTGTATTGATAGAATCAAATGTTCTGTCATAATATTTGACGGCTCCACACTCAAGGCTACAACAGATACACATTAAATGAATCAAAATAGTGGATTAGAAGTAATAAGACGTGCACAAGTACCATGTCTCCCGTTCCTTGACGTGGGGCAAGGACAACGAAGCAAACTGGCTAAATTCGAGATCCTCGAGGAGATTCCAATCATCTTTAACGTCCACTGAGGGATTACGATTTCCACGATTCATGCGCCGATTAAAGTCACCTCCCTGACGCCAATTGCCTCCGCCACCCCAGTTTCCACCTCGACGATATTGCTGCCAGTTTGCCTGGCTTCCATAACGCCGTTGTTGTTGTTGTGTTTGCATGGATGCCCTTTCACGTTCAGTCATCGGCCTACGCTGGCGACCGGCGAAATTACCCAGTGACATGAACTGTCCCCCACCACGACCACCAAAACCTTGTTGGAAATATCCGCGACCTCGCCCGCGCTAATAAAATAAAAGAAAGATTAACGAGACACTTTAACCGTGAAAAATTAGGGCGGGGGAACAGCAACTAACCAACTGAAACCTGAAGCGCTGACGAAAAGCACCCGACTTTGTGTCCTTTCCAGCATTGGCCATCTGGAAGTTGCTATCGTCCTCATCATGGTAATATGCATACTGGGCACCACCACCGAATTGAGAAACGTATCGATCTAACAAAATGCTACTTGAAAGAATGACTAACTTTTCGACTTCATGTCGGGATGAATAGAACCACACCAATCAGCAATTTTTCCCAACCGAGTGTCTTTCGAGAATGGCTGGTAAGGCATATCTCTGAAACCATCAGGAATCGCTGACGGACCCCAGCCATCACTGTTACAATTTATAGACAAACTGCCAAACGAAGGCAGATCACCATCGGGCACTGACATGTTCAAGGCTATTCTGCCGAAGTGATATTGTAGGTTTCTGTGTTTGGCCAATCAGCTTTTAGGTTTTCCAGTTCCAGATAAAATAATTTGTGACATATCAATCTCGTTCTAAGCCATTGTAAGGATATTTGTAAAACGAAAAACACTTGGCGCATTTAAGTAATGGATAGTTTGGAACTTTAAAAAGTCGGTAAGATTGCTGAATTTGAGTAACTGCAGAAAATGCAGACATGATTCGTCTTTCAAATGCAAAAAAGTATGACAGCCTTTTTGTGCAATCACAGAAAATATGTGTTGTAATGCAAGTTACAATACAGACACTAAAACTAAAATTTTTGGATTCAATACCAAAATTGTAGACGCCAGATGGAAATTTGATTCTCTTTAAAAATTTGTGCAAAGGTATACCCTTGGTAAATCTTAATATTATTTATCCAACTACACTATATAAAATTTTTTGTTATTACTGCTGTTAAAACGTTATAATTGTTTTTATTGCATAATTTTACAAAAATGTTGGTTAAGATTCTTAAAATATGTATGGAAAGAATATTGTGCATGATTAACTTTTGTCATCAAATTCACAAAAACTTCATACTCATCCTTGTCACAAATAAATGCCATTACTAGAACAGTTATGCCATTAAAAACAATTTCCTTTCAAAATTTTTGCTGCTAAATAATTATGCGAATTTTATCAAGCTGAAGTATTAGCTTTTGCAGTGCCCTGTGACATTTTGAGGAAATTTTTTGAATAAGCTGGGTTGGACAAATTAAACAGGTTTCACTAACACTTGTTTTGCGTTCCGTCTGCATACGTATGGAGATGTTCTGGTTAATAGTACCCGAATGCCTAGTCTTATGCAAATTCCAACTTCCTAGATCCTGAAAAGGACTAGGCCTCGTGTTAATCCTAAGGTGAGTAAAATACTAGATTCGGACACCAAAAACCGCTTTACATGATTTTGGATTAGCACTGTAAACGAGTTAAAGGTGAAAATTAAAATTTGTAAGAAATGAAGGTGTGATAAACTAGGTGAAATTGCCAAAGCAAAGGAGTGAATTGAGGTATGTAACCTAGAAATTATAAAGGCAGATGTCGTAGAGAAAATTGACATTTCCACGTGATCCCTTTTTTATAGGGGATTTTTGGAGATTTCTTCTAGCATACAGTCCGAGGTACATATCTGTTAGCCGCAAGTTAGGTTTGTAGCATATACCTACTCAGAAAAACTTTTACAGTTGACAAATTGTTAAAACTTATTTAAAACTGTCAAAAGTTAGTGTTTTGAGGAGGTTGAGTAATTGTTGAACAGTAACCAAAATAAATGATTTATTCACCAACAAGTCTTCGACAGTTTTCAATTTGTGTATTCTTCTCAGATGTCAGCATTGATGCTATTTTAATCGCTTTATAATTATCATGACTTTGAATGAATTTCAGCTTTTGGCAGTATCGAAATTTCAACATTATTTAAATAATGGCCGTTCAATTAACTATGACGAAACATGCTTAAATCCGGGAATTCGTTGGCTAATATTGAAGCAGAAGCTTTTTTAAGATGTTTTGTCACAGGATTATTTTGTGTGTTAAGGACATGAGCGCTTTACACATTTATATGTCGAGTTAAGCCTTTGCCACTTCCACTTATTTTTAAATATCTATAATAGGAAGACAGATTTTACAGTAAAGGTTATCATTTAGACATTTAAAGACGATACAAATTTTTCATAAGTGGTCAAAAATAACATTCTTATTGACTTGACTTCAAACATTTTGCAAATTTGCTTTGTAGCTCATTTAAAATTTCTTCTAGCACATTTTCAAGTGTTCTGATATTTCTCTGCTTAGGTTCTGAAACGTTATTTTAGTATAGATTTTGAAATAAAGTGGTGCCTTCTTAAATTAATTTATAAAAGTGTTAATTGGACTTAATAATCGTTCGTCAATAAATGCTAAATTTGCAGATATTGTTTATTTGTATGTTATTTCGACCGATTTTTTATTCCACCAAAGCGATAATTGGTTACTTCGTTTAGGGCGTGATTATAATATGACTGTCCTAATGATCCTGCAATTTTATGTTGAAGCTTAAGTAACCTACAAGAAAGTTGTTTTTCTTTGTCAAAGAAACTTCGGAATTATGTTAACTTCGGCCTCGCTAAACGGACGGCGTGGGCGTGGACGCCAACAACAACAACAGCATCAATGTGTAATCGCCAATCTAAGTGGATGCAAATTTCCCATAGGTTTAGAAATTTCTTTTTTATTTGTTTAGTCAAGAAAATTATTGAAGAAATGGGTTTCGAAATAGATGAAGGGGAGAGCTTTTCATCGGCGTAAGATATTATTAGTGCATTGACGTTTCAGTTACCTAATTTGGTCAGATGTTTTCGTGCCACTTGAGAAATTGCTGACACTGCAGCCATACCAGCGAGTAAATCATTTCCCTGGTATGGTAGAAATTTGCAGGAAGGACTTTTTTACTAAGAACTATAACAAGTGAGTTTGTCAGATTTTCTTTTTAAAACATCTTGAAATATTCGTGTTTCGCCATACGTATTGGTACAAAGATTTGTGTATATATCAATTCAATTTATTTGTAACTGATATTTACGCAGTCTCTTCCTACGTTTAACGATATGCCATCAGTAGTTTTTAGTACGTACTAGCATAATTTTTATGGAACACTTATTTGCAATTTATGCTTGCTAATAGACCCTTGTCTTGATTTGGACTTCTTTTAATAAAAATATTTATTCTTACAATATTTTTTTGCAATTACATATGAAAATGTCGTTAATAGTAACAGTAAAATATTTAATGCCTAGGAAATGTCCATCATGTCGTGTAATTTGGTGATCTGAAGTGGTTTGGAACTTTTATGTATCATATCCCGGCGGAATATCGTCGTCTGCTTTGAAAAGTTTAAATAGATTAATTTATTTAAACGAAAGCCTCTAATTTTTATGTCTCCTGCGATTTTCATCGTCCTTTCATATTCGATTGTAGAAAGACTATGAAAAAAAACAAGAAGCAAGCGCTAGTGTGGATTTCGTTTTATCAAATATCTAAATTGCCTGTATTCTAGACAAGTAATGTAGAGGCTCATATCTTGACAAAAAATGAAAAATTTTCCATTTACTGTGATGTGAGTGAAAAAGATGTGCAAATCAAAGAAGGCCTTTTAAAACTGACACGACATATTTGTGGACGCAGACAGCAGTTTAAAATTTAATCCCCAGCTTTGCTAACCATCAAATCCCATTAGTGAACTCTATTTTAAGGCAAGCAAAACGTAACTCAGAAGAATACAACTTCTATCCAAAGACGTGGCTCCTTCCACAAGAACACAATGTATTTCAAAGTTACGCCAGGAGAAACCCACATCCTGCCTACATCCTCAAACCAGCTAACGGAGCAATGGGCGTGGGGTAAGTCCACTTGGCTTGATTTTTTTTTAAATCTGTTGGTGGCCAATTTTGGCCGGAAATAAGGGTCTGGGAATAAGTTTTATCCAGTTTTGTGTGGTTGCATTTTCTCCTTCACACAGTGTCCTCTTTTACCTGAAGATTCTACCTATTTTACCATCTCAAGAGTAGCAGGAAAATGCACAAATTTTACCTCGTAAAACCTTGCCACAGCTTAAATTTCAGCCCTTAGTGTAGGCTAAGTTTTTATGTGTTTGATTGCTACATGCTACACGCCATGTTCAATTTAGCATACTTTTAGCCTGTGAGCTTCAATAAACTGTACGATTTTTGCCAGGAGTGCATGGAATTTAATAACCTACGCGAACTTTTTCTCTTAAAACCAATGACAATTTTTAGCATTACTGGTTTAAATAAACTGCAGTGGCTCTTTTACCCCTATCAGTGGTTGCTACTTCAGGTTTAAACACAAGTTACAAGCCATAGCATCAGCAAAAGCGCATAGGAACAGACATGCATAGTTTTGCCCACGTCTGATCCGATCGAATTTGACCTGCTTCTTTCAAGTTTAAATCAAAGCCAGAAGAGTTGGTCATGTTTGTTGTGGATGTGTTACCAAGTCGTGGGTAAGAAATGTGTGTACGTACATGGATACAACTCAGTGACCGGGCAGAGGTTGGAGATTGTGTGCTACTCAAACGAGGATAAGCAGTACTCTCTGGTCGTTTACTAACTGTAATTTGTCGCCACAGAATCCGGCTCTACCGCAATCCCGAGAATGTGCCATCCACAGGCACGCAGAACGGTCCGTGCGTGGTGCAGGAGTACATCGGAAACCCCCTGCTAATCGAGGGCTACAAATGCGACCTGCGCGTCTACGTGCTCGTCACGTCGTGCTGCCCGCTGCGCATTTTCGTCTACAACGAGGGCCTCGTTCGTTTGAGTGCCGAGAAGTACTTGGACCCCATGGAACCCAACGGGGTAGGCGTTTCTCCCCACTAAACACAGTCATCCCTTAAGGCCTGGCTCCTCTTAACCAACTGTAAAAATCTTGTCTGTCTAACTATAAGACGTGGCTGTAAAGGCATTCCGGCGTTTTGGAAACAAAGGTGCGTGTTAGCAGATTGCGGTTGATGTTTGCGGTAGCTTCAACTGATCATATTGTTGATTAACGACGTGAGATCAACGGCGGTGTAGGATTCAAGAAGTTCTACTGTAGTACATTTGGCGTCTTCCTTCAAAGTTTTGCGGATTGGCACAAGATTGGAATTCCAACGATAGCAACCAAGCAAACATAAGAGCGTGTAGTTAGATGTAAAGACGAACGTAAGCATCCAAAGTTTTGCCTTCTAATCTGGAGAGGTTCTGCCTGTTGACGCCTCGTTGGTTGATTCTTTGTTGAACGGTGGGGCAGTGGCGGTTTATCTAACTGCAGACGCCACTGACGTAATTCCCTCTCTTATCCAACTGCGTTGCTGCCAGATTCCAGTTTAAGGTTTGCGGCTGAGACTTTAAACTCGGCAACTTCTAAGCCGATGGTCGAGGTCTCTAAGCTGCATTTATCTCAAAGTCTGTCCTCATATTTTATGAGTTTGAAGATGACTTGCAAGCATCAACAGTGAGGGTTGCTAGAGGATAGGTTGGTGGCTTCGTGATGTCACGTGACACGTGGAAGACCAGTCTAGACAGTCATTAGGATAGCAGTGAATGTGCACCGTTTCCTCAAACTTGCGTGTTGCACCGAGGTGACGTTGTGATTGCGGGAGCTGCTTTTGTTTTAATGCGCCGATTGATAAAATGGAGAAATGAGATGAGCCTAATGTTTATCGATTTGAAATAAGAAAAAAAACCAATGAAACTCGCTCATTCGTTCAAGTATTAGCGATTTCGTACTATTTTGCGTTTCCAGAATAGGGAGCATATATAAATACATTTTTTTAAATAAAAAATTGAACTAACTAATCAACTCTTTCACGTCGTGGTCGAAATCGCTGATTGGTCAGTGGGAACCAATGAAATTGGCGGAAACAGGTGCATCCATCCATACCTTGATCTCACCAATCTGCGAACAAAAAAACAAATTGACATCATCCTAGTGGTGAAGTTCTCATTGTCTTTGAATTAGTAATCGCTTAGTGTTAACAAGCCCTTTACCAAACCACAATTTTGCCTGGTTTGTGTGACACCGTTTGCTGAAGCCAGTGATTGTTCGGTATCTGATCATGGCCCAAAAAAATCTAATGAAACTTCCGCTCATTTATTCAATTGTTGCCGCTTTCGCATCATGCCCCATTTCCAAAATTGGGTGCAGGCTTCACTTTATTTTTTTTTAAATTGAATTAACTCTAGTCAACTCTTTGACATCGTGGTCGAGATCGCTGATTGGTCAGTGGGAACCAATGAAATTGGTGGAAAGAGGTGGATCCATTTATGATTTGATCTCACCAATAGGCGAGCGCAAAGCAAATTGACACCGTCATAGTGGTGAAGTTGTCATTGCCTGGTTTGTGTGACACCGTTGCTGAAGCCAGTGATTGTTCGGTTTCTGATCATGGCCCGAATTTCGCCTATTTAGGAGTCTGTCTATCGGCATTTGACAAACTACGCGCTGAACCGCAAGCACAGCGCCTACGTAAAGACCAGCGATGAAGGCGAAGGCAGCAAACGGTCCTTCGCCTTTCTGGATAGCTACCTGCAGGACCACTTGAACCTCCGAGACACACGCTTCGTGTGGCGGCGCATCCGCAATCTCGTCGTCAAGACGGTGATCCTGGGCGCGCCGCACATCTACCACGGCTACCGTCTGTTCCACCACTCGGGCATGCGAGGGGAGTCGGGGCCGGGACGAGCACCAACCTATCGATCGCCGCCTGTGCGCTTTGCAGGCGAGACGTCATCCTACAGTCAGGATTCCGCATCGCCGAGCAGCATCTACGACAACCAGGACAGCCAGGCCAGCCATTCGGGAGGCATCCAGTCGGCGGCCTTCGAGATCCTCGGATTCGACATCCTCCTGGATGTGGAGCTGAAACCGTGGCTGCTCGAGGTCAACCGATCGCCATCGTTCGGTGTTGATCAGGACCTCGACTTGCGTGTCAAGTCGGGCCTTCTGAGGGACACCCTGAGCCTCCTGAACATCCGGTAGGCATCTTAGCTCTATTCCCACTCTGATTAGTTTGAATCTACCCCGTCACCACCACCACCATGCAACATTTTGTAGACTTTCGGACAAGCGTCGTTCCGAGGCGTCACAGAAGGCGCGTTCAGTCCGCCGTCTTCTCACGCCCGCGGCAAAACCAATCAGGATGTCACACGGAGGCATTAGCTCGCTCCCCTCGAACGGGACACCTAAATCCAACTACCTGGCCTCTGATTGGCTCAAAAACCCGAAGGAGTTGCTTCGCAGAATTGCCGAATTAGTGGGTACCTTTTACTGATTGACTACTACCGATTGATTGTGTTGCAAAAACATTACCATGTCTAAGCGCATTAGAGAAGGACCAATGGGAAGAGTTGTTCTCTGAACCAATGAAATGTCTAGTAGATGAGTTCGTGGTCTGTTCAACTATCTGGCCTCTAATTGGCCCAGTAACCCTCAAGGAACTGCTCTGCATGATTACCGACTTACTTGGTGCCTTTACTCGTTATTTGCGATCTGCCAGATTTGAAAACATTGCCCATTTTCAGTGCATTAGGGAGGAACCAATGAGATACGTCGTCCTATGCACCAATGATCTGAGTCCTTTAACTGTCCAATTAGAGGCCTCCATAATTATAGATAATTATTAAAAGCTTCCTAAATTACGAGTAACGCACTCTTTGCTTACTTACAAATGACTAGTTTTGACTTTCCATAAATGACATCACTTTTTCACGCTTTTTCGCTGATTGAACCAAGAGTTCAGTTTGAAAGTCATTTTATAAACGAGCTGGATTTTGATTGGCTGATGCCTTTGTCGTTATTTGCACAGAAAAGTCAACTAAGGGACATCCGTCGCGAGGCCGAATTGGAGTGCTTCGAAAACGCCAACTGTGGCGACTGGCGTCGTGTCTACCCAACCATGGACCAGACCCTTGAGCAGCGGTACGCCACACTGCTGGTGAATGCCTTCACGGAATTCAACAAGGGACGACCCGGCGACGTGAGCCAGGTTATTCAGGTGACGCAGTCCGGCAGCCAGCAGGTCGGTTTCATTTTGAAAAAAAATAATTTACGCTAACAACTCTACTTACAATAATAAGTAGTTAGTTAAGATGCATCCTTGTTTAGAGCCACCAATTGCTGTTAATTGTGACGACTTGGCACCTTGCCTCACTTTAATTCGAATAAAATCCACTATTTGGTCTTTTTGCAGGAGGAAGTGCTTAAACAACAGTTGTACTTTCTCGAAAAGGAAGCCGCCAAACTATTCAAAGTGACTGTGAGTCTTTTTCCAACAATTGGCTAAATTTGTCGGCATTTCAAGGTCACCGAAGTCATTTGACCTTGAGAACCTTGAATTGATTTGGTTCTCTTCTGATAAAGCACAAACCAGCCTGATAGAGCGGTACCATTCCTGAGTCTTGCACACTACTACCTAATTTAATTAGTATGTCGTCTTTCTTGCAGGATATCCGCATAAATCGACGCAACGCGCATCACTCGACATCTCCAGCAAGCCGGTGTCTGCGTGTGAAGTGGCCCAACGGTCTGAACCAATCAGCAGTCGCCTCGGCCTCACTCCCCTTCTGGGATGACCCCGACGCGGTGGGGGACCTGGACAGTGCCTCCGCCTCCGCCACCTCGTCCACCCCCTCGGTGGCCAAGTTGGACCAGATTCGCTCCGACCGTGGGACAAAGAAGAAGACTCGACGCAGACTCCGAAGTAGGCCCACCAACAACGCACTCGTCTGCCTGCGCAGCTTCATTAACAACAAGGCGCCACCGCCATTCAGACCGTAGCGACGGCGCTACAAGGCGCGCCGAAGTGCCTTATTTTAGTTTTTTTTACCGAAGAAGACAAAAAAAGAGGAAGAAGATATCTCACCTATCAGTTCCACCTGGAGTTTTGTGTGTCGGGTTTCGACCAATCAGAAGCTCGGAATTCTTCGCACAAAAAAAACAAGCAAACAGCAGTTGATGGGAAAGCCCATTAGTGCTCTTACGGCCAGACATGTTGACAAAGTGCACGTAGATGTGGCTTCTTTGATCCGCTAATGTCAGGCTAATTTGTCTGGATTTTGCAAATATGCGCCCCCCTTGAATTGCGGTGTGTGGGTGTGTGTGCTTGCCGGCACTTGGTCTTCCAACTCAAAGACCTATTCAAAATGCGTCGCCAGTGATGTGGGAGTGGAAGGCACGAGGGTGAAATCTGACCACGACTAGAACGTTTCTGGGTTGACCTTGAAACGCACGTCAAGCTCCACGCAGTGCATTCAAACAAACGCACAATTAAGGATCCGCTAGAGCATGTAAAGTACGAATGACCGAAACGAATAATTTCTCATTCGTTTTTTGGGCTGATCTGTTTCCAACTCTTCGACAAACCCGCGTAGGCAATTTCGGAGTGATTTCTGTAGTTTTAGGCGGTCAGTGTTCTAAAATTCCACGAGAAAGCGCCATATTGGCGGATTGTATCAGTTAATCTGGCTCTTTCGTCATTCTTAATATTTCAATCAATATTTAAACGATAGGCAAGCCAGCCGGTGCCTATTAACTCGCCTAGGTAATCTCTTAGCACGCAAATACTAACGACTGCTGCCAAAAGCCTTTATTTAATATTTAAATGTTATCTAGACAGTAGCTTTGATGAATCGCAGTTATTATTTCAAGTACCATTTCGACTTAGGCATAATCCTTATAACGCCCCGCCTCGCAATTATGTTGTGTAAACGGGTTGCATGTCTAGCTGTGTCCAGCCAATCACATCCAGCCTACTCGCACTATGACATCATGCAGAGCGCTGATTGGGTGCCTGCAGCAACACTGATTCTTATGGAGCTGCTACTAAATATGGAAGGTAAATGAAATCATTCTCTGCTTTACCGCGGACGTCAGTTTTGCGTTGGCGTGTATTAAAAATACATGATTGCGTGCAGACTTTGAAGTTTTACAGTGCTTTAGTTTCCCAAATTTTTATTGGTCATAACGAGAAAAGGTTTCCGCAATGACGTCATGGGTGCCAACGTCTCGGTAATCAAATGTGCCAATATTGAATTTGTTGAATCTTTTGATTGTTCACTAGTCAGCCTCCTAGTCTCGCTTACCGCTGTTGCTAACACAGATATATTTTGAATGTGTAAAGCTCTGACTCAACGTAAATTATCGATCTGTAGTCCTGATGAGCCAATCACAGCCTTCTAAACGCTTTTAGTCTCGTTAACCCAAGCGCTCATGCACACGTACACACCAAACATTTTAACACCATCTGTAAATATAATTGAAATCATATTTTTAATGAAAAAAGGCTTTTTAATCCACTCATTGCCTTGTCGCCTTGAAATATAAATTAGGAACAAAGACGGTTTTTTATGACTGAGAAAACGCTTGCTGCTCAACAAACTCGCACGTGCACGGCGACGCTGAAAATTATGAACCAGACGGACAATTTTCCCGACCAGACATTTTTTTGCAGTTATCGTCCTTTTAAAATTAAAAAAGGCGCTGTCAGCTGGTTTGTACAACACCACTGATTCCTCTAGTCAGTTGAGATGGTATTTTGGCTGGCAAACATTCATCCTGGTGGGTTTTAAGGAGGGTAATCAGTGGGGTTACGCAAATGCCACATAGCAGTTACTAATTCTGTCGCAAGTGCCATCCCTAAAATTGCATACTCACACCAGTAACTGATTCAATCACTATTACTTTGTCACTCCTCACTACCTTGTGTGCTGTTGTTTTAATGCGTCAATTTATTCGCCCTTGAAATCTGACGGTGTTACGAGGTTCCAACCCAGATATCGGACTTCAAACCGGTGACACAGAAATCGAACAGGTAAATTAGTCATTTCTAGCACAATTCCTTCCTGACTGACATTATGTTTACGTGACGCGTGTTTTAACCCAATAAATACTACGGCGCGTCATTAAATCAGTGACGTGCCTCCAATCTCTGTCCAATGAATTCGCGAGATAAGTTGCTGAGCCTGCGTCTCCTTTAGCAACGCAGGTTTAAACTATAACATCCACTACAAATTATCAGTGAAAAGGTGACGCAAGTAGACAACCAATAAATCAACACAGTGATCGTTCAGGTAGTTAAATCAGCCACTAATTAGCCACCAGCGAAGCGATTGGACGGTGATGTTGACATGTTTCGTTTGTAATAATAAATATTAGCGCTAAAAAAATTTATTTGACTTAAAAATTCCAACCCACTGGCCTGGACAAGAGAAGGAAGAATGTTTGAGCCTATTGTTGCGGGTTTGTCTGTACACCGATGTAGGCCGACAATATTTTTTGTTTAAATTCACCGTTTTCAGTCGCCCAAGGGCCTCACGTGAGCACACGGGAAGAATGAACTCTCGGTTCATTAAAGAGTCACGTGATAACTCCTGAAAAATGTTAAAAATGTGGCCTAAATTTCAAACAACTTTTGCATTTAGCGATTACGCCACCCAATCACATGATTGCACTGCTTTGTTACAATTCAAGCCGCCACACACGCTGCAGCCAATCACACGCAGCAGAGCACAAGTCACGCTCATGAGTGGTCGATTTCTAAACTTGAGCCTCAAGTTTTATTGGATAATGTACAAGCGATTTATTCAACCTGTTATGTCAACAAATAAACACGTCGGCAACAAGATTTACGTTAGTGTTTGACTTTTTGCCTATCCCTAGTGGAAGCTTTTGGAAAAGAGTGCCCCATAAAAATGTCACAGCTAGCCACCAACGTCTGCTTAGTGTTTGCATCGACACCAGCAGAACTTGTTATTTAAAAAAACTCTTGAAATAACTGCCTCTTTGCTTTAATAAGCTGAACAGGGTGAAATACTTCGACATTCATCTGCATTCTTCGAAAAATGCACACCATTTGCATTTTCATTTTGACCGCCACACTCCCATTGGCTCACTCACCCACTGCTGCCAATCATAATTATGGTCAAGGACGACCGCGTGCCTGTCGCTCAGCATTATGGCCTAGACAGATGGCGAGTGATTGCAATCGAAGCCGAACATGTAAACAAGCAGCCCAAATGACGTAATTCGGCGGGGTGAAATTTGTTCGTTATATGTGTTCACTCGGGTTATCGATGATGTGGGCTGCCAATCATTATTACGGTCAAGGTCGTCTGAGGCACACATAATTGGACGACCGCGCGTGTGTCACTCAGCATTTCGGCAGAGACAGATGGCGAGTGATTGCAATCGAAGCCGAACATGTAAACAAGCAGGGTAAAATTTGTTCATTAAATGTGTCCACTCGGGTTATCCATGATGTGGGCTGAAATAACTGCTGTGTGTTCGCGAACATCATTCTGTGTGATGCCTGTGTGTCCTCAGAATCCCAATCTCAACGACGACCAATCACGTTCCTCTGTAGTGGTGATCTCCATTTAACAGCACATCTTTATCCAATTTGTGCTCGGGCATTTGTGTGTTCATTCGGATAACATCTGCAATATTCACATCTTCACCTTGGGGGTATTGAATTTGTAAAAAATATGATGTGGCCGAACATGTGTTCTACCAGGCTAATGTGTCAACTGTTGGACAGGATCCCTCCACAAATGATTTCACTGCCAGACACTGGTACGAGGTGTCAGATACTTGACTACGTGACATTTCCTTCCACTAACCACTCCAAGCATAAAACATTTGCTCCCTTCCCCTGACAACGCTAACCTTTCTGCCGCAGTTACGTCTCACGCAGACTCCCAAGTGACCGAATTTGTAGGAGATTCTTAATAAGGAAGCTGAAGTAAACGCCGCGTGTTTGGCAGTTATGATTTGTGTGAAGAGGACTTGACACTGTGGCAGTCAGTTTGGACGAACCCACAATTGTCCAGCTTGTGGTATTCACTCTCGACTCTTGAATGCACTTCATAGTTTTACTCAACTCACATGACCTTGAGGTGACCAACCTGAAGCGGGCACTAAGAAGCAGTGGTTCTTTTTTGTCCAATCAAATCATT